AAAAAAAAAAAAAAAGAAAAAAAGAAGGAAAAAGATCACAAGTTTGAGCACACCTGGGCAATTTATCGGCTTAGAGAAACCCTGTCTCATGGGTATTTTTTTCCCAGTAACAGAAATCGAACTCAGGACCTTGAGCTTGCCAGACAATGCACCGCCACTGAGCTAGATCCCTGGCCAGAGACACTGTCTCAACATAAAAGGTGGAAAAGGAGGCTCAGTGCAAAAGCCCTGGGTTCCATCCCCAGTACCACCCCTCAAAAGTCATTTTCACACTAAAAAAGCCACTCAGATTTCAGAACTGAATAATCTGCTTTTAGGAAATAGACCTGCACTGCTTCTCCACGGAACGTGCTAAGCCCAGCGCACATCATCGGGCAGAAACTGACCCCTCAGGGCCGGGACTTGGCTCACCGGCGGGCCGCCAGCCTCACAAGCGCAAGGTCGGGAGTTCGACGCCCTCAGCAGCCAGGGACCCTGGCCAGGCTCCGCCCTCCCCCTTCCTCCTTCCCCACAGACCGCACCACTCCCGTCCACCCCACCCTCCCGGCCTCTTCGCAGCGCTGGCCCCGCCACTGCCCGCGGTACGCGCCTGTTCCGGGCCATCCCTCCTCTCCCCTTCGGTGCCAGCCCACGAGGGCAGGGACTTCATGTGCCTGGCACGGCCCACACTCCCCGTGCTCTGTAAGCACCTGCCGGGTGATCCCCAAGAACCTGTCAGCACGGAAAAGAAAACCCAAACGCCTTCCCTTTCCTTCGAAACGAAATTAAAATACAAGACAGGAAAGAGCACCATCCAGAAAGGCCTACGCAGAGGATTCAGGGAGGTTAGGGGACCCCAAACCCCGTAAGACCAGCTCGGTGGCTGGATCCCCGTCATGCCGGCCCTGCCCCAGGCTCCTGGCTCCGCCCCCAGAAGAAAGGGACAAGGACTTCCAGCCACTGCAAGCCTGGCCAGCTACCTGCTCACTTGGGAAGACCGCTGCAGCTCAGCTGGTTTCAGGCTTGAGACACTGCTTAGTTAAACGACACAAGACACGATGGCAGGCCGGAACGCCAACACCAAGAGTTTTGTCTTGCTTTGCCTGGGTGATCCAGCACTGGGCAGCCCGGCCTTCTTTAAGGAGGAATCTATTATCTTTCCACAACGGTGCTCATTTTGCAGATGGGACCACTGAGGCACTGAGGACTAGAGCAGGGCAGGGACGGGAGCAGGGCTCTGACCCCCAAGTCTGTCTCAGCACCGATGGCCAGGAAGAGGCTGAGTGAGGCCGGGTGCCGCCCCGAGTCACGCAGAGGGTTTCCCAGCGCCGTCCTGGCAGCTCCTGGGAGCCCTGGCACAGCGCAAGGCCTTCTGCGGGGTCCTCACCTCCACTCTTCTGCCAAGCACCCCAGGAGAGGGCAGGTGCCCGGGCAGAGAGCAAGCAGGCCAGTGAGGCCAGGTGGGGGACCAGGGCAGCGGGCAGCGCTGGCCAGATGCCAGGCACAGATCACTGCTGTGACTCAGCTCCTCTAGGGCAGACGGACAGGCGGCCCGAGGGTCTGATGGAGGAGGATGGCGGGAGGCCAGAGTGCCAGGAGCCTGGAGGAAAAGCAAAGACCACGCTGCTACCCTGAGGGCAGGGCTCGATGCTGCTGTCCCTCCCAGTCCTGTGCAAGAAAAGGCATTCCGAGCTCGGCGTGGTGGTTCACGCCTGTCACCCAGCACCGGGAGGCCCAGGGAGGACTGCGGGAGAAACCTTGCCTCAAAATAAAACACTTAGAAGGCCTGGGAATGTTGCACAGTGAGTTCAACCCCAGCACTGAAAAAAAAAGCCCTAATTATGAATACCCCAGCTACCCTGGACACCGGGGAAGAGGTCCTGGGGTTCGGCCACCTCAGCCTGTGCTCCTGGCCAGGGCTGTGCAGCTCTGGGCGTCACGTGGCTGCTGATACCCCTCACCCAGTGTACGTCTGCAGAGGGGCTATGTTTATGCTCTGCACATGAGGCTAAGTAAACCACTGCAGCCAGCACCGGGCCCATGCCCCACACCATGTGCCGCTCAGGCCTCAATGCAGCCCCAGAAGATCCCGCTGCCTCCATCCCTGCTACAGAGGAGGGAGATGAAGCTCGGTGTGGGAAAGTGACTTCTGCAAGGAAGTGGACCCAGCAGCTGACCCGGGCTCTGAACCACCCTGCCGCCCCCCGAGCGTGCCTACGGGAACGCCTGAGACACACCCAGAGTCCAGAGAGAGCGGACAAAACAATACAGCAGCAATAAAGTGATTACAGCAGGAGAGCACAGGCTGGGGGTAGCAAGGCAGGGGGCACAGGGACACTGGTGGCTTCATTTTCAGCAGGGGATCAGGAAAGTTCTCAAAGCGAAGGTGATTTCTGAGCAAAGCCTTGAAGGAGCTAGGGGAGGAGCTATGCTTGGAGCACAGAGGCAGGGCCTGGCCCTCTCCTCAAGGTGCCACCAATCCGAGAGGCACAGAGGGCAGACACTGCAGTAAAGAGGCAAGAGGGAGGGCTGGGAGCGTCAAAAGGCTAGAAATGCAGCCCGGACAGAGCCGCAGCCCGCACCTTCCCCAGGATACGGCCAGAGGAAAAAGCAGTAGCCCGATTTATCTGGAGAGAAGATGCAGGCTGGGCTGTGGAAGCAAATGCTGAGGGAGCGTCCCTGAAGAGACACGGACAGCAGGGCCAGGCCTAGAGGGTGGGACTGGGTCCGAGACAAAGGAGCCTTCCGGGATGCCACTAGAGGGCCACGGGCAGGGCAGGGCAGGGCAGTGCCCTTAAGGCTGGGAGAGGATGGGTCAGAGGGGAGAGGACAGGGCTAGGGAGGAGGGGCTGTGTGACAGCAGCGGAAGGCGAGGGGTTAGGAGTGGGCTCTGGCCGGTGGTTCCGTGGTCAGCAGTGTGTGCGCCATTCAGCTGTGCTGAACAGGCCACTGGCACAGGGACGAAAACAGGAGGGAACGGACGGAGTGGTGTGGGAGGGCAAGCGGAACGGACCCTCAGTGAAACGCAGGAGCTGGCAGATCCTGTGTTTCTGGTTCCCCTGCGGGGCACACTGAAGGCACCCCGTGCCGGGTGATGTGGGGACCAGCGAGTCAGAGACAGAGCCCGGTCCACACTTCCCACGCAGGGAGGCCTCGGCAGAGGCAGGGGCAGGAGGCCCTGGGGAACTGTAGGAGCCCAGGACGGACCCTAAGGCACAGCCGGACCTGCCTGTTTTGTTCCCAGCTGCTCCTTATTAGCTGGGGTTAATAGCACGTAGGATGCAGAAATGGGTTAGGGCCGAGTGGATTCATCTCTGCAAAGGACTAGAACACTTCCTGGCACCTTTGGCGATCACAGTCCCTGAGGTCTTCAGGCCCCGGTCTGTCTCCCCTACTGTCCTCTCCACCCCACACTGCAAACAGGCAGGGCCAGTGTCAATGTGAACTTTGTGGTCCGGTTTCACCCACTGTGAAGAGGCCTCCAGGCTGCTAGGCCCTGTGCCGGCCTCCCTGGGGACACCATGGTGCGCTCCCAGACACGGACAGTCAACGTCAGTCCAGTTTGGGCCAAGTGTTGGGGAAAACTGGCCTGAGCAGCATGTCCGACTCACCTCTGCCCACAGCAGCTTTGCTGTGGGACAGTCCAGGCCTCTGGGACACCGTCTCCCCCTTGGCCTTTCATGGAGAATGTGGTCACTGTCCTGCTCAGGCAGGCTGGCCCTTTCAACTTTCCTCTCTAGCACACACTTCTCCCTCCCTTCCTGGCTACAGCCTCCTCGCTCTGTGGCTATGAGGACTGAAAGATTCTGGGCGCGCAGTGCACTGCCGGACCCCATTACAGCACACTTGGGGTACTCTAAGAATCAAATGAGAAGGCGATGCAGTCTAGAGAGTGAAAGTACCTACACAAACGCGGAACCAGAGGAGCTGGAGAGGATTCCCGCTCTGCCCTTCCTAGGCTGAGTGACCGCTTTGTGTCTCAGTTTCTCCATGTGTTAAAGAGGAGCTATGACTCTTCTAGCCGTTAAGGACTAGAGAAGGTAACCCCTTCCGCGCACAATCAAGACAGTTGTGTCCAGAGCGGAGAGGGAGCAAGGTCGTGACCGCAGAGGGATGGGATGTCAGAACCTCACAGCTCTTGATTTTTGGCCCTAGGTGTGACTTTGACGTTCTGGGGAGGAGTGGCAGAGCTCAGAGGTTAGGAGCAGATCCCCTGACAGCGTGCGCTCCTGATCCCGGAAGCACATGACCGCGGGTCTCGGGGAGGTGGGAGAGGGGGCCCGGTCACCTTCACCGCGAAGTCGATGACCCTCTTGACAGCCACGAGCGCGCGCAGCTCCGCCATCTTCCGCCGAAGCCACCTGCCGAGTCAGTCCTTACTCCGGCCGGTCTGCACGCCCCGCCCGGGTGTCTGCGCCTGCGCACCGCGCGACCAGCCAGTCAACTATCGCAGAGACTGTTTCCCCGCCCACGTAACCAATCAGAAGGAAGAAAAGGGAAGAGGTGTGGCAGGGGCGGAAGGCCAATGGAAAGTGGAGCCGGGGGAGAGAGGCGGGACGCGAGGCCTCGGAGAAGGGGGCGTGGCAAGGAACTAGG